TAAGTCCACCAGCAATCAAGGGATTACCCCTTTCCCACCCCCATCCACCCCACTTCCACCTCTTCCTCTACTACCACCACTGAAGATTCATTTTCTATAGACTCTAACCCAGTAGAAGCCTGTGGGGAGGCACATGGCTAATAATGAGATTAAGGGGAAGTCAGCTGGGACTCAAAGCATTTTTCCCCATTCCCACACACTCTGGGAATGCTCACGGTCAAATTTATAACCCCCAACACAGCTGGAGGCTCCTTCTCTGGTGAAAAGACCTCCCAATATTAACTTTGTGGGCCCCCAATGAAGTCTGGCACACCACTGGGTGCACCTTATAACGAAACCCATTAATCCAGGGCTTCTCACAATATGTGCATTTAAATTACCGGGTGATCTTGTTAAAATGCAGATTCTAGGGGCTCCTGGGTGGCTCAGTCGGTTAAGTGTCTGCCTTAGGCTCAGATCATGATCCCAGGGTCCTGGAATCTAGTACCATATCAGGCTCCCTGCCCAGCACAAGAGCCTGTTTCCCCCCTCCCACTCTCTCTGCCTGTGCTCTCTCTCTCTCCCCTCTCTGTCAAATAAATTAAAATCTTTTTAAAAATGCAGATTCTAAATCTGTAGTTTTTAATGGGGACTGAAATTTTGCATGTCCAAAAAGTTCCCAGATGAAGCCAATGTTGGTGGTCCCTTCTGAGTAGCAAGGTGTTAATGAACTCAGTGCCCACACACTGAGTCTCCCTTTCGCTTCTTAGAGTCTCATTCTTAAATATAAACAGACTGCTAGAGTAGCCAGACTTTAGAGGATAGCCATTAACATAAAGCAAAGAGACTTAAATAAATGAGCATTAAAAATACCCAAAGAAACAGATTAAAGCAGAGAGCAAAAGAAAAACTAAAAACAAACACATTATAACAGCTCAGAGAAATAGAAGATATTCTTGTCCATAAAACAAAGATAGAATAATATGAGGTTGGATCAGTCATTAAAAAGGTGTTGGGAATTAAAGACAGAAAAACTGAAACTTAAAATGGCTGAAGATAACGACAAGGAAAGAAATATCTCAGAAAAACAGGACAACAAAAACCAACAAACACTGGGTAGAGAGTTTCTGTTTTGCAGGATGAAATAAGTGGTTATACAACGTTAACATTCTTAACACTACCGAATAGTACACTTAAAAATGGCCAAGACAACAAATTTTGTGTTATGTATATTTTAACACAACTAAAAATAAAAATCAGGGGCACCCCGCTGCCTCAGTCAGAAGAGCATGCAATTCTTAACCTTGGGGTCATGAGTTCAAGCCCACATGGGATGTAGAGATTACTTAAATAAATAAAACTTAATAAATCAAGCAAACAAACAAACAAAAACAAAGAATAGGAAATAGAAGAGAATATTAAAGAATCAATCCAAAAATGGAACTTCTAAATAACAGACATTCCAGAAAGAGAACTAAGAAGATAGAGAAGAAATTATCAAAAAATAATGAAAGAAAATTTCCTCCCAACCTGAAGTACATGAGTTTCCAGTTTGAATGAGTGGTCAGCACAAAAGTCACAGCAAAACATATCATTATAAAATTTCCAGCCAGTAGCCTAAAGAGAAAATTCTAATGCTTCCAGAGATGGAAATATAACATACAAAGAATCAGGAATAGGAATAGGAATCAGACTTTTTAAATAGCACCCCTGGATGGTTGAAGAAAATGGAGTAATACTTTCAAAATTATGAGGAAAAAATTATTTTCAAATTTGAAATCAATAACCAGCTGTTAAAAAACAAAATTTAGGGGTGCCTGGGTGGCTCAGTCAGTTGAACGTCTGCCTTCAGCTCAGGTCATGATCTCAGGGTCCTGGGTCTCAAGCCCCACATAAGACTCCTTGCTCAGTGGGGAGTCTGCTTCTCCTTCTCCCTCTGCCCCTCCCTCCAGCTCATCTGCACACCCTCTTTCTCTCTCTCTCAAATAAATAAATAATTTTTTAAAAATGTAACCAAGTTAATTTGAAGATCTAATTGGCTTTATTGAATGACTCATGAATCAGGTAACATCCCATCCAGTAGAGGGGAGTTCTGAGGGGCTACAGAAAAGGAAAAGTTTTTTGTTTGCTTTTTTAAGTAGGTTCCATGTCCAACGTGGGGCTTCAACTCATGGCCTTGAGATCAAGAGTCACATGATCTATACACTGAGCCAGCCAGGCACCCCAGGAAAGGTTTATAAAGGCAGGACAAGGAAGTCAAAGAGAAAAAAATGGTTATTTCAAGTGATGTCACCTTCACTTGGGGATAAAGGGGTCTTAGTAGAGGATTAACTCATATTCCTTTGGGGGATGGAGAGGGCCCATGAGATTGATAACCTTATTGGTGCTGACGAGAAAATTTCTGACTAATGGTTGACACTATTTCTGGAGGAGGATGAAAGTATAATTTGATTAAGTATTAAGCCCCAGGTTGGTGAGTTGGCCTAAGCAACACCATTTTGAGTTTATTTTTAACACAGCCCATCTATAGTCCAAGTGTTAGAATAAAGACATTTTCATATATGAGGGCACCTGGCTAGCTCAGTTGGTAGAGCCATGTGACCCTTGATCTCAGGGTCCTGAGTTAGAGCCACACTTTGGGTTTAGAGATTACTTTAAAAGGGGGGGGGGGCATTTTCAAATATGCAGATTCCACTAACATATCCCTTGATCTCAGGGTCCTGAGTTAGAGCCACACTTTGGGTGTAGAGATTACTTTAAAAGGGGGGGGGGCATTTTCAAATATGCAGATTCCACTAACATATCCGTTAAGTCTCTTCCTTAGGAAGTTACTAGAGAAGATGCTTTAGTAAAACAAGGAAGAAAACCAAGAAGGGAAGCCCCTGGATCCAGGAAGTGGGCAAAATGGCCCAGAAAAGCAGTAAGGAAAATCCCCAAAAGACAACTGTACAGCAAGTCTAGAGAGCAGTCAATCCAGATTGAAACAAGAGAAAGGAGGGATCTGGGACAAAGACTCCAGAGAAAAAGTGCAACTTATTTGAGTATATGGAAAATATTGCTAGACTTTGACAGGGTCTTAGAGCACTTGGGAGAGGGGATGGGCAGGCAACTGTAGATAATACAGAAAATCTACAAGTAAGAGAGAAAAAAGGCAATAATTAAGTCTTAAAAAATAAAGGGTTGTGTAAGTTAGTTGGCATGGTTGTAACGTACTTTGGGGCTTACTGGTAAGCAGCATTTGCAAACATAATAATTTAAATGCCGATTATCGGTTTCACCAAAAACCTTACATAACTGCAGGAAGTCAACAGGTAATGCTTAAAATTAACAAATCGAGAATTAATATTACAAGCATTTGCTTCCATATATAGATCAAATCAGGAAGAACAGGTAAGAATTGAAGATACTGCCTTTACAAAGTAGGCCAGGGAACTGCTTTTTTCATTATAAGACATTTAGCTTATGAATATATTTTTGCACGGGGTATGTGCATTATTTTAGTTCAATAAACATTAATTCTAAAATATTAGCATGTAAGAATCTGTTTTAAAGAGCTGTCTGGGGGCGCCTGGGTGGCTCAGTGGGTTAAGCCGCTGCCTTCGGCTCAGGTCATGATCTCAGGGTCCTGGGATCGAGTCCCGCATTGGGCTCTCTGCTCAGCAGGGAGCCTGCTTCCCTCTCTCTCTGCCTGCCTCTCTGTCTACTTGTGATCTCTCTCTGTCAAATAAATAAATAAAATCTTTAAAAAAAAATAAAGAGCTGTCTGGGCCTTGATGACAGGGGCTAGTTTTTCTTCATTTTTTGGATTCTCCCACTCCCACCCCAAGAGTACATAGCAGAAAATAAATCAATGCACGTAGAAGAAACTCAGCTAAGTTTGTTAGATTCTGCCTGGAGGGAAAATACGGAACAAGGCTCACAGGCATCAGGTGCGGACTCCGCACCTTCAGATAAGTATGAAGGTATGTCTCTGGCAGAGTACCAAAGACAGGGCACCTGGGTGGCTCAGTGGATTAAGCCTCTGCCTTCAGCTCAGGTCATGATCTCAGAGTTTTGGGATCGAGTCCCACATCGGGCTCTCTGCTTGGCAGGGAGCCTGCTTCCTCCTCTCTCTCTCTCTGTGCCTATTCGTGATCTCTCTCTGTCAAATAAATAAAATCTTTAAAAAAAAAAAAAAAAGAGTACCAAAGACAGAAATCAAATCATGTTCCTCGCACCCAGAGGCAACTCCCCAGGCACAGAAGTGGAGGCATGACGAACCCAGGGAGGCCTATTCACCTAGGTGACTTATTGCTTTCCTGCGTTGCTCCTTTAACTATTTGTAGTTCTATAACTGAGAGTCGGTTTTGTTTCCTTTACCAGACTATAAGCTCCACGAGGGCAGGATGTCGTATCATTCTCCACTGCACTCCCAGCATACAGCATGAGCCCGCTAAATATTTGTTGGAGAAATGAATTCGTGACGGTACCGCTAGACAGCCATCAGTGTGACATGAGTAAGGGGCACACGGACAAGCTGAGCGCCAAAAGCCGGCTTGGAGAGGACAAGGGCGGGCTTCTCGCAGCGTCTCTGAAATGACACGACCGGAAGGGTGGAGCTGGACCTCTGCGACGAGCGGGAGGGAGGGGCTGGACAGTGAGGCAGGCATCGGAGAATGACAGCCAACAAGGAGACAAACTTGCAGGAGAGGGGCCTGAAGGGTGGAGGGGCTCCGTGAGAAAGCGAAATGGACCCAGGGTACGGGTGGGGGTCGCGCATGCGCCAGCCCAGCCTCCGCGACGCCCCTGCGTGCGCGTGCACGAGGGGTCGAAGCGGAAATGGCGCCGCGGGGCCGCGCGTCCGGGCAGCGAGCGGAAGTGGGTGTGAGAGCGGAAGTGGCCGGCTGGAGCCGGGGGTTGGGCGGGGACCGGGCTTGTCGGTGAGGCGGCAGCGGCGGCGGCGGCGGCTCGGCAGGCGGGTTCAGGCTTCGGGGGCCAGGTCGGTCGGGTGGGTGGGTGTCTCCACAGCGAGTGCGTGCGAGGGCGAACGCGCGTCTTCACCTTCCCCCCCCACCCTGGTCCCTCTTCCCTTTCCCCTGACCTCCTACCCCACCCAACCCCCCTCTTCCATGGGGCAGCAGGGCCGCTCTCTCAGTCCTTTCCTCCCTTACCCACCCTCACCCTCCCTTGTTTCTCCTTCCCCTGTCCGGGGCAGCCGCCGCCATGATCCTGCTGGAGGTGAACAACCGCATCATCGAGGAGACGCTCGCGCTCAAGTTCGAGAACGCGGCCGCCGGGTGAGCGCGCGCCCGGGGCCGGTGGGTGGCGGGGGAGGCAGAGTTGACCCCCGCTGGTCCTCAGTGTCGTTCAGTCCTCCAGACTTAAAGGGATGAGGTGGGAGACCTGGCCGGGTGTGGGGACGGCCCCGGCCGGGTAAACGTGGGAGGCTGCTGGGCGCGGTGGGGTGAGGGGCAGAGATGCGTGGGGAGAGGCTCGAAGGAAGGATGCGGAAGCGGCGAGTGGACCCGAGCGCGCGTGCCAAAGGGCAGGAGACCTGTGGGACGTGAGGGCAGCTGGGGCCGGAACTCCGGCTGGAGGATCCCATTGCCTTCTTGAGCGAGCAGGGGATCCCTTCCCTCTGTATTCCCCGTCATTGTTCTGAACCCCAAGAAAGCCTGTTTGGGATTGGGTTGGAAGGAGTTTTCAGGAATTTCCAGGACTAGAGGAGGGAAGAAGATGCAGGCCCAGATCCCCACCAGCCTTCTCCCTCTCCAGCCCCACCCCCACCTCTTCGTCTAAAGATGCTGGAGACTAGACTGAAAGCACACCCAGTCTTGCAGCTCGGAAAAAAGCGACTGGTCTAGTTTCCCTTCCCCGAAATCTGCTGTAAGACACACTGGCCATTTTGTTAATATATTTCTCAAGCAAAGCTGGTAGTCTCCCCATCCACACCCTCCCTTATCTCTCTCCTGAGGTTATAATTCTTTCTCCACCCATTTATCTTTTAAACTCTTATACAAGACCCCTGGTCTGTGATTTTTAATGTAGTAATCCTGGCCCAGGTACACACTTACGAGCATCCAAAGTCTATAAAGTTCTCAGATAACCTTTATTTACCATTGGCCTTTTTAAAGGTAGGTTAGCACATATTTCCAAGGCTGCCTTCTCTGTGAAACACAAGAATCGGTAGAAAACAACCTCCTCCCCCAAAGCTGCTTTGCTTTTCTAATATTTAAAACGTGAGCCAGGGACCTGGTTTTAGCTTCTAATTTTTGGTGACCTGTAGCCAGTCCCTTTGCCTCGTTTCCCCATTGCGAGGCTGGGGCTTTGCCTCTTGGTTTCACAGTTGAGGAAATGAATGCAAACTTTCTGGTGAACTGGGAACTAGTCATAGGAAAGTCAGTGCTTGGAGATCTGCAGACGGGAAAGGATTGGTGCAGGGGAAATTCTAAGTGCTCATAATGAACTTGTGGTTTGGAGGCATTAAAAAAAAATACTTCTAACCCACTGCCTGACTTGAACATATTTTGTCTCCTATCTCTTTTATAAGGACACAGATGTTATCTGTAAAGTAAAGCATGGTTTTCGTTGAAGTAAGGCTTACAAGAAGCCTGTTTCCTGCTTGCAGTTGCTTATATTTTAAGCTAACTTGCTTCTTATCTTCAGTCTCACTTACCAGTCCCTTTGCTTTTTAAATGTTTGAGTGAATCAGCTCAGAGTCTTATTTTGGGTGCTGGGTACTTTTTTTTGAGCCGTGTAGCATAGAGGAGGAAGTTAAATTAACTTCTGCATTTTCACAGCTGAACCTGTTAAGTGCATTCTCGAGTCCAGACTAGCAAAGAATGAGACCTGGGTGGTTATAAGCTGATCTACAAGATAAATGCCTGTTCATTTTCAAGTAGAAGCATGCCTTGTAGTGTAGAAGTATATTCATATCTATTTGTGATTCCAAAATGAAGCCCATTATCCGGAACGACAGCTCTTTAACTTTTAGAAAATTAACTCTTACAAAGTACTGTTTCAGAGGAATTAAAATAAGCACTCAAGTCTGTAAGCGTAAGTTAGAACTTCTAGGACATTTCTTAACAAATACATTACAGCAATGTTGGTTATTGGGCAGGGCAGCAAGTTTTGGCTTTTACTGTGGCTGTCTTCCCTTTGAGACTTTAAGGGCACTCAAAACATACTCTGCTGAAAAGCTCTCTGAAAATCTTTGAAGAGACCCTGATAGCAGGCCTGGAGGTAGGTGGGATTGCAGATCCCACCCATCAGAAACTGGCTTCTAGGCCTGCTGTGAGTTTCCAGGCATACAGCGTGAGGCAGCAGTGAAGTAGTTAACGGATTTATTGAGGCACATGCCTACTACACTAGAACTTCCAGCAAAAAATGACTAGTGTGATAATCACAAACATTTATAGGATTCTACCAGTGCTCAGCACCAAGCAGAAACAGCAAAAGGAGGCCCTTCTGAGAGAGTCTATTGGCAAAAGTTACAGAGGAGCTAAAGGGTGAGGTGTGTGCGGGTGGAGATGGCAGAGAGACATTAATGAAGGGGAGTAGCTTGGAGGAGAAACCCTGGGAACTGGAAAGGCTTTGCCAGTGCGCGAACCTGCTGGGAGAGGGCAGCTGCCCCGGGCTTTACGCTTCTCAGAGCAAACCCGTTGGGGGAAATCACTGTTCTGAGCAGCCTCTTCCAAAGTAAATCTCATAGCTCTGTGGTGTCCAGTATAATAGCCAGTGGCTACATGTAGCTAGTTAAGTTTAAAGAAGAAAGTGAAATAAAACTAAAATCCAGTTCCTCACACTAGGCACGATTCTAGTGCTCAGTTGCCACATGTCTCTAGTAGTGGCCATATTTGGACAGGACACATGTAGATCATTTGCATTATTGCAGAAAGTTCTGTTGAACAGCACTAGCACTATTGCAGCTACTGAAAATGCAAGCGTGAGATAGTTTTAAAAATAGTTCTGTGGTATATGCTTCAGAATACAGTTGCAGTAATTTTCCTCCTGAGGGTTTTTTGTTTTTTTAAGCGACACCTCAGACCATCCTGCCAAATCCTCTTGCCTGCATCCTACTAAGAGTCTAAACTTCCTTTGGGTAAAATAGTTATCGAAACTGTTGACCATTTAGGCATGATCACCTTTTAATTTGGAGGCAGTTCGGACAAAGCCTAAGATTGATTCCCAACAAATTGCTTTTTATTGTTTTCCTACCACACTCCTGGGAAAATGGCTTATTGGAACGGTTCATATATCGTCACAAAATGGTAATTATTGGTAAATTGTCTCATTAACAGCCTACACGCTAAGAGAATATGCTGATTAAGAAGCCGTGCTCGGCACTACCAATAAACCCCCACAGGTCTTGTCAACAGCATTGCCTTTTCATTTAGGAATTCTTACCCAGATGCCCAATTAAAACAGAAGTAATTGGGTAGGGCGCCTGGGTGGTTCAGTGGGTTAAGCCTCTGCCTTCGGCTCAGGTCATGATCTCAGGGTCCTGGGATCGAGGCCCACATCGGGCTCTCTGCTCAGCGGGGAGCCTGCTTTATGTGACCCTTGATCTCAGGGTCCTGAGTTAGAGCCACACTTTGGGTTTAGAGATTACTTTAAAAGGGGGGGGGGGCATTTTCAAATATGCAGATTCCACTAACATATCCCTTGATCTCAGGGTCCTGAGTTAGAGCCACACTTTGGGTGTAGAGATTACTTTAAAAGGGGGGGGGGCATTTTCAAATATGCAGATTCCACTAACATATCCCTTGATCTCAGGGTCCTGAGTTAGAGCCACACTTTGGGTGTAGAGATTACTTTAAAAGGGGGGGGGGCATTTTCAAATATGCAGATTCCACTAACATATCCGTTAAGTCTCTTCCTTAGGAAGTTACTAGAGAAGATGCTTTAGTAAAACAAGGAAGAAAACCAAGAAGGGAAGCCCCTGGATCCAGGAAGTGGGCAAAATGGCCCAGAAAAGCAGTAAGGAAAATCCCCAAAAGACAACTGTACAGCAAGTCTAGAGAGCAGTCAATCCAGATTGAAACAAGAGAAAGGAGGGATCTGGGACAAAGACTCCAGAGAAAAAGTGCAACTTATTTGAGTATATGGAAAATATTGCTAGACTTTGACAGGGTCTTAGAGCACTTGGGAGAGGGGATGGGCAGGCAACTGTAGATAATACAGAAAATCTACAAGTAAGAGAGAAAAAAGGCAATAATTAAGTCTTAAAAAATAAAGGGTTGTGTAAGTTAGTTGGCATGGTTGTAACGTACTTTGGGGCTTACTGGTAAGCAGCATTTGCAAACATAATAATTTAAATGCCGATTATCGGTTTCACCAAAAACCTTACATAACTGCAGGAAGTCAACAGGTAATGCTTAAAATTAACAAATCGAGAATTAATATTACAAGCATTTGCTTCCATATATAGATCAAATCAGGAAGAACAGGTAAGAATTGAAGATACTGCCTTTACAAAGTAGGCCAGGGAACTGCTTTTTTCATTATAAGACATTTAGCTTATGAATATATTTTTGCACGGGGTATGTGCATTATTTTAGTTCAATAAACATTAATTCTAAAATATTAGCATGTAAGAATCTGTTTTAAAGAGCTGTCTGGGGGCGCCTGGGTGGCTCAGTGGGTTAAGCCGCTGCCTTCGGCTCAGGTCATGATCTCAGGGTCCTGGGATCGAGTCCCGCATTGGGCTCTCTGCTCAGCAGGGAGCCTGCTTCCCTCTCTCTCTGCCTGCCTCTCTGTCTACTTGTGATCTCTCTCTGTCAAATAAATAAATAAAATCTTTAAAAAAAAATAAAGAGCTGTCTGGGCCTTGATGACAGGGGCTAGTTTTTCTTCATTTTTTGGATTCTCCCACTCCCACCCCAAGAGTACATAGCAGAAAATAAATCAATGCACGTAGAAGAAACTCAGCTAAGTTTGTTAGATTCTGCCTGGAGGGAAAATACGGAACAAGGCTCACAGGCATCAGGTGCGGACTCCGCACCTTCAGATAAGTATGAAGGTATGTCTCTGGCAGAGTACCAAAGACAGGGCACCTGGGTGGCTCAGTGGATTAAGCCTCTGCCTTCAGCTCAGGTCATGATCTCAGAGTTTTGGGATCGAGTCCCACATCGGGCTCTCTGCTTGGCAGGGAGCCTGCTTCCTCCTCTCTCTCTCTCTGTGCCTATTCGTGATCTCTCTCTGTCAAATAAATAAAATCTTTAAAAAAAAAAAAAAAAGAGTACCAAAGACAGAAATCAAATCATGTTCCTCGCACCCAGAGGCAACTCCCCAGGCA